GTAAACAGTGTATGAAGGCCACAATATGTTAACCCCTGGACATAGGAATAAAGCTTAACCTTTCTTACTAAGGTGGCATATTTGAAATATACTAAAGATCCAAACACTGCTTCAGGTTTTCTGGCGGAGATATTCACTTAATAATCGACTACCATAAACCCCCAAATAGAGTTTCTCTGCAGACCTCCCTCTTTCATGTTATTAATTCAAGACCCCAAATCCTCCCAAATAATAACCTGCAGTTATAGGCAGCTAACTCTTTATACCTTCAGATGTTTACTCCAGTATACTTTGGCTCTTTGAGGCAGTGTTAGGTTTTGTCTAAAAAAACCCATAAAAGCTGTGACAATGGCCACTTATAGCCATGTTTGCTTTGCACAGTATTTAGCTGACATAAGTTGTTTTTCAAGATAGGCAATTCAAATGGTAGTGTACTGTATATGATATAGTAAGCAAACAACTGAATGTTTTGTATAAAGTGTTTTCCAATGTAGCTGTTTAAAAATTATTTTAGCAGTTTAATGTCAATTAACAATTAACACTGATAATCATCGTAAAAGATAAAATACTTATTATAGTATTTGTGTAGACCATTAAATGCGGCCTTAAACATTACCACTTAAAAGCGTAAACCCATACTGAAATTATAGGAACATTAATAACACCAAAACTGACTCAATAAAGAGAGAGAGAGAGTTTAATCTTTTTAAGGGTTTTTATATAGATTTTAAAAGTTACAGCATAGCAGTAAGCAATAAGGCAAAACATTAAAATCATCAGTAATCGTTTTGATTAGCTTACAATCTAAATTAATCAACTACTATTTCTAAACATCAGTCTAAATTATTATACTGATAAAAAGCATTATAGTTGAGCTCTCAATCATTGAAAAGTCAAAGAATTTCTCACTACCACCAGTCCTCAGTTGGTTCGAGTTGGGGGTTGTGGCATTTTGTTGAAAATAATCATTTTTTTGTAAATATTTTTTAGGCAGGGATTCAGAGTTTTCCTTGCTGTATTTTGGAAGCATTTGAACAGTTCAATTGTCCCACGCTGAATTCCTGCTCTGAGTAGCAGCTCTATCTTCTGTTTCATCTCTATCCTCCCCCACAAGCCAGGGGGCCCGTAGGGGAGAACCTGCAGTCGAATTGACTTTTTGACTTGCCTTCCTTCAGTCTCTCATTCTTCTGCAGGTCAGAAAAACAGCCAGACAGAGCTGCAACCACTGATCAAGTTGTTTCTAAAGATTTCTTGTCAGTAGATCTTGTCCTCCCATCCAACCAAATTCCACAGTTTGCAGTTTGCATATCTTTTACTGTCAATGTTCAGTGCACTGAACAGTGGTTCAGCAACTTTTCTCTTTTTAGTTATCTACACATTTCACTCTAAATGTAAAGTCACTGTAAATAACACAGAGCGCACTTGCTGGGGCATGGTTTATTTCATGGCGTGGATGCTTTTGTTTTGCAGTGAAGCGGTTGACTTCCAGTTTTGAGCCGTGCGCTGTTGTTTCGAGTTCACGCTTCCTGTGTAGCCTTTAGGGTGATGTAGCTTACTGTACGATGTTGATTGAGACGGAGTACTCTTGGACATTAGTTTCATACTGGCAGCCCCTCTGAAAGAGGCACAAGGTATGTTTGCTACGTTTAGTGATGTGTATGAACATTTTGTTGGTGTGTATTCCCGCACTGGGACCTTCTCCATCACAGATGCAGTTCCTTCTGGCTCATGCAGCTCATTCTCATCCTCTCTTAGCTTGTTTGTCATCTCCTTGTGTTCTCCTTCAAATGGTGGCCATTCCAAAATGTCTTGTAAACATTTTTGCTGTTCTTGTGGGGCTTCTGACTGCAAAGAAACAATTTGTCTGATGGTCTTCTGCAGCTCCTCTTGTAAGGTCACTTCTGGTACCAGATCATCATCATCATCACTGCTGTAATGACCTGTGTTTCTTGGGCTTTTACTTTGTTCTCTCTGGGACCCGTTTTTACAGCTCCACCAACAACAACTGTTCAGACAATCTGAATGCGCCATTGGTGGTGAGTTGGCATAGCAGATGGCTGCCTTGGTTCTGTACCGGAAACAAATGCCTTGTGTGTGCAATACACTTGGCCAAATAAAGTGATTGTCATTATCATTTTTTCCTGCCAATGCCTCAACCTATTTCAAATTAACTGAACAGTACATTCAAACCCTGAATCGGGGGCAATCAGGTTGGGGTCCCAAAGCTGAGATTTTGAAAAGTAATAGAAGGGTGACCTTGCTGCAGATGAATGCAGTGTCATCAGGTAACATACTATGCTGGTCATATAGGTACATGCAGGCACATAGGGGATCATACATTTCACTAATGCAAATCCACATAGATCTAGCAGGCCATGGGTTACGATGGATGCACTTAACCTTGTTTTTTAATATGAAGACATTTTTGGCAGTTGATCTAGGTGCCACATTTAGGTCATTGCAGCACAGGTGTAGCATAAATTCCTCTATCCTTAAAGGACAAGAGTCAAGTCAACAGAGAAAATTTGGGATTCATAAGTAGGAGGAAACTGTTAGAGCTACAAGAAGATCCATACAGTAACAGTATGTTTGTTTGTTTTGGTTTTTTTTTTTGTTTTTTTGTTAATATGAATACAGACAACCATATTATTTAAGAAAAAAAGAACAATTGGTTAAAGATGTTATGACTAATTACTATTTTCTGTCCTTTCAGGCTATTATGGAGAACTTATTATGTACCAGCGGAAACTTAAATACTTTTTGAGACTGAGATATGAGCACATGGATGAAGGGATATCCAATCAAGGAAATGCCACTGATTTCAAAAAAATATACACAGAACTCTACGTAGTTGATAGTGATACTCGAGAGATCAACAGTGAACATGAAGTGAGACAAATCGAGACAGCTATCAACCGACCAAAGTCTGTAGAAATAGCAATCAAGTGTGAGAATATCTTCAAGCCCTTACCCAAACAAGACACACCAATCAGAACAGTGCTCACTGAGGGGATAGCCGGCATCGGTAAAACTATGTTGGCACAGAAATTCATGCTGGACTGGTCAGAAGGGAAAACCAATCAAGACATCCAGCTCCTGTTTTCACTTCCTTTTAGGGAGCTGAATTTGCTTAGAAATCAAAGAATAAGTTTGATGGAGCTCTTGTGTGAGTTCTCTGCAGACTTGAAAAAATCTGGAATCAAAGACCTGAAGATGTACAAAGTTCTGTTTGTATTGGATGGTCTGGATGAATGCAGGCTCTATCTGGACTTTGAGGGAAGTGAGAGATGTTGTGAGGTTACACAGTCAGCCTCAGTGGATGTGCTGCTGACAAGCCTCATTGCAGGTAACCTGCTACCAGAAGCTAATCTGTGGATAACCACCCGACCTGCTGCAGCCAGCTGCATCCCTCCACAGTATGTTGACCGAGTAACTGAGATACGAGGCTTCAGTGACCTACAAAAGGAGCAGTACTTTTGCAAGAAAATTAATGATGAAAACTTGGCCAAAACAGTAGTCACTCACATAAAATCAACAAGAAGTCTCTACATCATGTGCCACGTACCACTGTTTTGCTGGATTTCCTCTGTTGTTCTGGGAAATATTTGCACCAGCACAGGAGGAGGGAAAATGCCAAAGACTTTGACTCAGATGTACATCCACTTTGTGGCCCATCAGACCACACAGATGTGTGTCAAGTACTGCAAAGAGCAACAACTGGACTCCCATGGGAATAGCAAGGTGATAATGTCACTGGGGAAGCTGGCCTTCCAGCAGCTGGAGAAAGGCAACCTGATCTTCTATGAGGAGGATCTCAAAGAGTGTGGTATTGATGTCAAAGAAGCATCTGTCTACTCAGGAGTGTGCACTCAAGTCTTCAGGGAAGAGTCCTGCATGCAGTATAAAGTCTTCTGTTTTGTGCATCTCTCTGTCCAGGAGTTTCTTGCAGCTTTGTACGTACATGTTATGTTCAAAGGCAGTGGTGTAAACCTGATGATCAACGAACCTGAACAGATGGCCAGAACCAAAAGCAGGCCTATGTTCGAATTGCACAAAGCTGCAGTGGACAGAGCCTTACAAAGCGACAATGGCCACCTCGACCTGAACGGAAGATACAGGTGGAAACCTGCGACTCCCAGAGTCATGACGAATCCATCGACTACATTAAAGATCAAATCAGGCAGACTCCTCATCCTGACAGGTGTATAAATCTCTTCCACTGCCTGAATGAGTTAAATGACCACTCTCTAGTGAAGGAGATCCAGAGCTACTTGGATTCAGACCGAGACTCTGCAATGGACCAGTGCTCTGCAGCTCAGTGGGCAGCTCTGGTTTTTGTGTTGCTGACCTCACAAACACAGCTTGAGCTGTTCGAACTCAAGAAATACTCCAGGAAAGAAGAAGGTCTTCTGAGGCTCCTCCCAGTCCTCAAAGCGTCCAGATCAGCAATGTAAGTATTTCTGTAAATCAGATATTTGAAACTTGCCATTTAAATTTTCCCTTAGGTCTTTACATCTTCTAAGACTACTTAACCTATAAACTTCCGACCATAAAAAATTTTAGATTAGTTTTTAGTTCTTACTTTTTTTATTTTTTTGTAAATAGTAAAATACAAACTCTCCCAGAATGCTAAATGTTACAAAGCACTCATAAAATAGCGCTTGCCCATCCATATCCACACCCCCTTCAAATTAAGCATTACCTATAGTTTTCTGATTTAAAATATGCTTACAGTAGCTGTAATGACATGCTATACAAACTTAAAATATTTTGTTTCTGTATTTTCTGATTATCAGGCTGAATGATTGTCAACTCACTGCAGACTGCTGTGAAGCATTGTCCTCCACTCTCAATTCGACATCTTCAGAACTCCGTGATTTAAACTTAAGTGACAACAGTTTACAAGATTGTGGAATCAAGATTCTCTGCAATGGACTCCAGAGTCCACACTGCAGGCTGAAGACACTAACGTGAGCATGTCTAATAATTGGCCATACAATTTTTTTAATTCACAGACATATTCTGTTGTAGAATTATGTAAACTCACCTAAAGATTAAGTAATTTAAATTTTTGTTTGTCCTTTTTATACATCTGTATATTCTCAAGTTCATAATATTTTCTTGCAGATCACTAACTAAATCCACAAGCCACTTTTTTTCAACTGAAAACCAATGTATACAGGTATTTAGTAGTGCTGATTGATTAAGGTCCAAATCTTGACATTTTAGTGCAAGGTATTTGAATTCTCCATTTTGTGTCATAAATGTGCAGACACTGTTCTCTATTGGCTGAAACCTGGTTAATGCAGTAAAATTATACTATTGGCTGATCTGTTGGCAGGTGATGTGTAAGGTGCCAGCATTCATCATCAACCCCCCACCCCCCCATATAAAATTAACATCTCCCATGAAAAACTGACTGTGGAGAGTCATGATGATTATTGTTTGATTTGATTTCATTTATTCTTTCAAGCATGTAAAACAGTTGATATGTCAACACACATAATTTCACACATATCCAACGATGATAATCCAATATCAATTTACTTATACCTAGTACATGCTTGAACGGAGTAGAAAGAAGTTAGACTTATCTAGTCCTACCCCATGACATCATCTTACAACTTTTAAGTCCTAAGCAATATCTCTACATAAATAATTATCCCCTACACCACACAAGTAATATACTACAGAATTATTACAGCGTGTTAACATCATTACATAATTACATTCTTAGATAATTATCTTCTACACCACACAAGTAATATACTAAAGATTTATTAGAGTGCTAACATTACCCCACACCCACAATGTTCCATCTGATTAATCATTAAACCTGTTCTTGCATATATCTTGATTGACACATACCTTTATACTTATATTTAAACTCATCAATTCTAGTACTATTTTTTTATGTCAACATTTAAATTATTCCATAGTTTTACACCACTTATGGAAATACAGAATTTTTTTTTGGTTGTACATATAGCATGAATTTTTAAGTTTAACTGACCCCTTAAATTGTATCCCCCTTCCCTTTCAATAAATAACTTTTGAATTCCACCAGGTAATAAATTTTTCCTGGCTTTATACATAAACACAGCAATCTTATATCCCACCAAATCCAAAAATTTTAACAATTTAGACTGTATGAAAGCTGCATTGGTGTGATCCCTATATCCCATCTTATGCAC